GTGGTTGTGGTGGTTGTTGTGGCAGCGTTGATGGTTGTGTTGGTGTGTGTGTGTGTGTGTGTGTGTGTGTGTGTGTGGTGTCGGTTGGTAGTGTTTGGTGGTGGTGGTGGTGGTGGTGGTGGTGGTGCAGGAGTGTGGTGGTTGTTGTGGCAGCCTTGATGGTAGTGTTGGAGGTGTGTGGTGGTGTGTGGTGGTGTGTGGTAATGTTGGCGGTGTGCGTGTGTGAACGTGGTGGTGGCGGTAGTGATGATGGTAGTGTGTGGTAGTGTGTGGTAGTGTGTGGTGGTGGTAGTAGTGATGATGGTGGCAGTGTTGGTGGTGTGTTGGTGGTGTGTGGCGATGGTGGTATGATGGTTGTTGTGGTGTGTGAAAAGGGTGGAGGGGGATTCACTATCAGACTTACCAGGAGAATGGCATTCCGTGTGGAATTACGGCTCTGCTGAGGACGCAACATTGTAGGAGTATATTGAGGCAGGAATTCGCCACACGAAAAGAATTCACGAGGAATCAAAACATTAAAAGTTAATATTTCCCGTGACCTAGCAGACTTGTGGAACTATAGACTATCTTTGTCCCCACAGCATGAAGGAACCGATAACGCAATAGTGATAAAACGTGGATCAAGGGCTTTGTTCGTTGACACGAGAAAGTATGCAATATGTGAGGCAGCGTGGTGAAATCAGGCGCTCGTCAAAACAAGGAAATCAAACAAACCGGCATTATTCTGGGCGTAGGAAAAAATTAAAATTCTCTTTTTTTTTGCCCAACACCTTTTATGTCCTTTTAAAAACATGTTTCTGTGTGGAATTTTCACCTTAAAACGTTGATTTAAAAAAGAAAAAATTTTAATTTTAATTTGTAAATTTCCAGTTTCCAAGGACTTTTAAACTTTGGAAGTCAACAAACTTTGGCAACCATTTTCTCACTAATTTTACCTCTCCCCATCAGGAGACACCCACCTCCTTCAGTCGCAAATATCTCGACTTCTATTCATAATAGATCTAGATGAGTATTTTTTTTTCACCGAAAGCAAGACAAATGAACAGGTTTAAAAATGAAAACCATAACCCCC